AATATATAGAACTAAATAATCAAAAATTCTATGCCAGTAACTTCTACAACTAAAATGTTGTTTACATGCACATTTCTATATTAAAAACCCAAAACAAAACCCAAACAAACAAAAAACCTTTAATAAAGTTGTACTGCTAGCTGTCACCACACACATTTCTCTTAATGCATCAAAGCAGAGGGCATGTAACAGTTTATCATTTCAATCAGTTCGTTTTAGTTTTAAAAAAAAAATATTAATTACCATATGACACATTTTCCTCTATAAATTAGTAGGAAAAAAATAAGTGAACATCCTTAAAAACTGCAAAGTATACCATTTAAAAAATTTGCATGTTCTTTAAAGGAGCACTAGTAAATCAAGAGCAGTACGATTCTACCTGGACTGCTAGCCTACAACACATCAGAAATGTGCCTGCATCAGACATTTATCATTGACATTTCCAGCAGCAGCCAGGACAACTGTAAACTTACTCCTCTGAAGTGTGCCACTTTGGTATAGGCAGCTTCTTACATGTTTCCTCCATGTTCACTGATATCACCAAGTGGACTCTGGTGATGCAAGACAGTTTCTCGAATATTTTTCTTCTACTTTTAGTAAGACACCTTGCTTTGCTTACCCATCAATGCTCCGTAAGAACCGTTCTTCACGTCAGGTTGGAGTTGTTCTTACACTTATTTTAAGTAACATCTAAGACACAGGCAATACACGCATTCTGAAAAGCCTGCACCATTCAATTTGTTAATCCACTTTCTAGAGAAACTATATATGGCACACAAGAATACATACAATTTTGAAAAGCTGGGAGCTTTTTTTTCAAATGTTCTTAGAATAAGTTGTCTATATTTTTTTGTTATTACCAGCTGTCTTGTGGGGAAATCCCTTACTCCTGTTTTACCTGCATTAAGAAGAAACCAAGAGGGCAGGATGAAGATAGACAAATTAAATTACAGTCAGCACTATAATAACATTTATACATTATAAACTGGAAACTAAGGGGACCTGGACTCAATTCCAAGTTGAAAGAATCACTGTAAACCTACAACAAAACACTACCACTTCTCAATTCAAGGGATACTGAGAAGTGAGCATATATAGCATAACAGAGAAATGAAATCACAAAATTATCAAATAGGTTAAAACCAACATTGCTCTACTGTCAAAAGATCACAGTTTGGCACGCACCATAGTAAAATCCTCACTCTGCAGCCAGCTTGGTAACTGGGTAGCTTGGCTTAGCGCCTGGAACAGAGTTGCTCTGAGAGCACAATAGTTATCACCTCGTACTCTCCGTATAGATGCAAACTTCTGAGCAACTGCTTCATATCCCTAGGAAAATACAAAATAACATGAAAGCATTAATAAAACACTTTAAGGTCATGCACTGGTATTATAAAAAATACTGGAATATTAGCACCCAAATACTATTTTAAAAAAACAGTTTGATCCATTACCCATTTTGAAAGTTCAAATGGTTTTATGTCACAAATTATGCTTTGAAAAAAAGCTTCCTCAGTTCTGCTGAGTAACAAACAAGAAACCAAAGAAATCTAAGTAGATAATTGGTTGTGGCATTTATTTGATGAGAGAGCAGAAATATTATGGAAATGTGGGTAGCTAACCCACTTAAGTTTCAAAAAAAAATCCAAACATCCAAACATACACACACAAGACTATAAATCTAAAAATATATCACGCTTACAAGAAGTTTCAGCAATAGTTTATTAATTTACCCAGTAAGTGTCACATGTAGTTCGTTTTTGCCTCAGGGAAAATTAGTGTTTACACTGAAATATCTCGACACATGCCTCAGCACATTTGTCACCTCCCCGCTGTTCCCATATGTACATTTTTAGAAGCAGCAGCAACGTTGAAACGTAACTTCTGAAGCTCAGTATGTCTCTTCAGCTAATCTAGCAAGATCCAATGCCTTGTGCAGCTGTATTTCTCTTACTAATCTGTTGAAGGTGACACATGGATCCTTTGATTTATGGAAAGTATTTTTTAGGTTTACTCGCACATACCATTAAGTTTTCAAATTGTGTTGAAAAAAAACAAAAACACACAACAAACCTTATGCTTTATTTTCTACCATTCTAGCTCAAGATTAATATAAGAAAACTAGTCTAAATCCTACAAAAAATAAGAATTCAGGAAAAATTTAAGAAAACCCAAAGCTATTCACTAAAGCTCCACATCTTAAAAACCATGCAATTCACCAACTCCAGTTATTTGCCTTCTGTCAAAAAGTTTGGTTCATCTGCTCTGCCATTTCAGCTGCCCACAAGATTACCATTTCATGGCAACAAAACCAAATTTAAAACTTTAATTGAAAACAGTAATGAAGAAGAGCATTCATCAAAACCCTACACTATCAACAAGTAGCCTTACCAAAAAACATATTTCGAACAAAACCATCTTCCAGTTGTCAGCCACTTCTAAGACCAGACACTAGAAAACATTGCTATTGTATTTCCTGTTTTAAAGATTGTTCCCATAGGACATCACCTACTAAACATATAAATGAAAACCAAAAGCCCAACAAAATTCAACACAAAGAGATCTGATACCTTTCTCATTGTTTTTGCTACGGGTGTATTTCCTCTCCATTCTTTTCTGCAATACTCCATAATGTCCATTTCAGGTGCAACACTTAATTTACAGTCTGTCAAAATAAGAGTATGTAACATTATACTGAGAGCTGTGAAACAGAACAACATAGAAAAAGCACTGAATTTCTAAATACACCTTATCACTTTAATATTGGTGCCAAAGGAGACTGACAGCACAACCTATAGCTACCACATAATTGTTAGTATTGGAGGGGAAAAAAACCCCAGCTTGCTCTGAAAATGACAACTGAACAAAAATAATGATTTAGTCCAACAAAACAGAGAACACTGCTCCTCTCTTCTGAAAAATACTAATTGGCAAAGAGTAGAAATTAGTACTCTTCATTTTCTTAGCAATCAGAAAAATGTTGGGCAAAAGTTTCTCTTCTCTCGTCAGCCAGACTATAAAGAAGATTGATAATAGATCTGAGTAAGCTAGAAACAATGGCAGAAAGAAGAAATAGTTTTCTCTTGGAATCCCAACAGCCTTCACTCCAAAACAGGTAATAATAAGGTTATCAAGGAATCCCAGCAACAGATGCTGCTACAATGACAACAAATCAGTAATTTTCAAGCACAACACTCCTAACACAGGCCACCTGACTGCCTTCCAAAGGATTGACATTCTCTTGTAAAGTAACTGCAGAAATACAGGAAAAAATACACTAAGAGCAACTAGTTTTACATAAAATTGATCTTTTGTGAATTAAACCGTACAACCTACTCAGTTATTATAAGTAGCCTTCTATTGCACACAGGGACACATGTGCACAAAAAACCTTGGAAAGGAGGGCATCATATCGTAACAAAGTAGTGCTACAAGGAATTGTAATACTGTATTTGAAACAAAGTTCGAACATACCTGAAGAGCCTGTCTCACAAAGCAGTATTTTCTCTCTCTCTATTTCTTCTGCATCACGATACATGTCCTCCTCACTGCAATAAAAACCACAACGCATACTTCATGTAACAGCACAAATCTTACAGTATTATAATATCCCTCTGTTTACAGCTACAGGCAAGTACTTAAGTCTTTCTCCAAGTATTTTTTCAACTTGATTTGCTTTCCATCTTGCACATTTTTATAAAATCAACGTGAGATCTCAAAAAAAGTTTAAAAATACCTCTCAACTGTTCCCCTCTCTTATTTATGACACCTATGATGGCAATGAATCACTGCCTGAATTTCTGTTCTGCTGACTGTATGGAGACTACAGAGTACTAAGGTCCCTTTGTATTTGTAAATTTTACAGGATAAATTTGCAAAAAATACAAGCCAAAATGCCTTATTTGCCAAGTATATCAATACTGCAACCTAAGCATGCAACGAAGAATGCATTACTAAAAGTTTTGTATCTACACTCCACTGGGGCTGAGCAACCTGCCTAGTAATGAGCAGAATATTTGACAGAATAAATACCATGAGGAGCAGCAGTCAGCTATCTGCAGCTGGTTTGAATGTTACGAACTCAAAAAACCCAAAATTCTAAGCATGGTTCAAACTGCAGATTACAGGCTAACTGAAATCCAGACAAACATTTTTTCCTCAAATAATTTTGGTCAAGGTATACTGTCTTAAGAGTCAAATGTCTCCATCTGAGCCTATATACAGACATTCTGAAGTTATGACTACGAGGAAGGAAATGATGGCCTAAAAGGATATTGTTTCTATGCATAGCCTAGCATTATCAAGAAGAGATCTCAAAACCAGGGTGTGAACATTACAGTTGAGAATGCAGTTCCATACAGTGTTCAAAAAAACCATTCAAACACTGAACTGTAAATTGCACATTCCTTTAAACGTGATTCTGAGTGGCATTTGTCATATAATTACATTTAGCAAATAAACTTTAAAATCACAGTTTCACAGCTAGAATACTTCAAAAACCCCAAAAACACACATCACCAAACATATTAGTAAATCATTTAGGCTTACCACTAAAAGGAGGTTACATTGAAAGTTTGTATTTTGAAGAAAGTGTATGTGCAGGGGAAAAAAAAAAGTGTAAGACTATTATTCATTGCCTACTACTATTAGTAGCTTCTAAATTACTACACCAACACCCCCCAAAAAAAAAACAAACAACCAAACCACAGTATGATTGCAAATGACCAGGAAGAAATTAAGGCAGTGACCTTGCCCCATCTTACACTACTAAGAGAGGACAAGCAGTTAGGAAGACTACAAGGAAGGGTTTAATGTAGCCAGCTGGTAATTAGATTACTCTCATTAAACTTGAAAGAATATACTGGTAAGTTACAGCTCTGTATTTTTATTTTTTTTTAATATCTAAACCAACTTAAAGGTAACATTTATAACCCATTTGCATATATTTCCCTTGAGAACAAAAGAAAATGTTTAGTATAAAGACAAATATAGGTTAACATCAGAAACTCATCTACTGTGCAGTCATACGGAACTACGGTTTAGTTTTCACTCAGGTTTCAAACTTTTAACTTTCAAACTGGGTTTCCTGGGTGCTAAAGTATCTACTTGAAATCTGATTTGCAACAATATGCAATAATTAATAATTAAAAGAGAAACAATAGGTGCAGTAGATATTAAACTCAGTACTCCATAAAAATTAGTACCTGCTGAGAAGAAAATATCACAGAAATACTTATGCCAAGTTCTTATCCTTGTTAGCGTGGCACTGGACAAACCCTAATTTCCATGCATAATCTTATTTCTCAGCAGAGATTAAAGAGTCCATTAAGATTTGTGAAGAATTTCAAGAATACTTAATAGCCTTGAAAATACTATGAAAAAACCCCAAACAACTCAGTACCTGAGAGCAGCGATCTCTAGCCTAGCTTATCTATAAGCTAAGTATCTAAAATATAAAGCCACAACCTCCCCCTCTGAGCATCAAACAACCCGCTTCCACAAGGTATCTCTTGGGAGGTGGCGGGGGGGTGGGGAAGCACTACTTTGGGATACATCCTTGAGTATTTTAAGTTATAATGCACAAAGAGAAAAAGCGCTCAACTTAGTAAACTAGTGAGGTCACTCAAAAGAAGAAGTTTGGTGTGGAGTAAGCAGCATCATGTTCCTTCTGCAGATATTACCCCATCTTCTTTCTGGGAATTGACAAAGTAGAATCCACAGATTCACAGCCATCGTAAACAAAGCACTGCAATTTAACCAAGTTGTTTTGAAATCAAGGTAGCCAAGAGGTGCAATCCAGCTGCACAGGCACTCTCATTTCAGAGTTGAAAGTGCATCTTAACATTGTTGTAGCATAGCAACTGTTAAGTAAATCTGTGGAGACAAGAATGTGGAAACTAAAACTTTCCCCATTAATCTTCACAGTAATATTTGACAATAGAGTGAATATAAAATAACAGATGGAAAAGAGTAGTTAAGTGAAAACATGCATGCACAAAAGAAAATCAATAGTGCATAGTGGTGTGTGTAAATTGTTGAACTAGTAAATCAGATTCTGCTGAAATAAAGATACTAAGGTAAAAATCTCAGGATGTCAGATTTTACTTAGAGTATCCTGGGCTTGGCATTTTAAACAGCAAACACCACCACAAAAAACTAAACCCCAACAAGTGAAGATGACAGCAAGCAAAACTGAGCTGGAGAAAAGGGAAATGACTACTGGCAAAAATAAAAATAGTTTTATACTAATAGATTTGGAGGACTAGAACTCCCAGTACTGAAGATACCATGCAAAAGCAAAAGCAATGCTTAAAGCATTTATTACCATGAAGGGATGAATTTTTTTTTATGCCAGATTAAATTCATTGTTATTAATGGTTCATGTGAAGGCATATTAGATCAAATAGAATTGGTATGCCAAGTAGCAACTAATTTAAAAATTCAGGAGAAAGATCTTTATGTACCACATTTTTGCCAACATATGAAATGCACTTAATATATATTTATAGGAATCTGTGTATTAATGTAAAATGTGCATTAGCATTAAAAAAAAATCACACTAACATAATAGATCGTGCTTAAATTACAGAGTAAATTAAGCATAAAATAACTCTTGAAAACGTGTACTTATTTTTAGTGACTTTTTTACTAAGTCAGCGCTTATTGTAGATTTTGGATGTTGTAAAATAGTTCACAGGCTACCTATAGAAAAAGGATTAATTAGAAATCACTTCTCTTACTTTTTTAATGTATTCTTCAACAACATAAAGCTACTGTTAATGTGCCTTAATTTTGTTTTCAGAAATTTGGAATATCTTTTTTCAAAACCTTCATATATATTTCTTCCTCGAGATACCAAATATTCTTGTAAAGACTTCTACGGTCAAATCTGAATCACACAACTAAATTTTTACTTCAGCCTACAGCAGGAGGTTTACAAAAACCAACCAAACAAAAAGCTTAAGTGCTAGGATTAAAAAAACCCTTCTATGTTTGTCAGCACTGCACCTAACAAAGTGTTCACAAGGTTAAAACCAAACTACCAGAGTATCTGCCTTCAATTCTTAGTTTCCCATGCTTTTCATCCTACCATTAAGAGCTTAATATTGCATCAGTTACTTCCTTTAGATGGGGAAAGAACACCACTAATAAACTATGAAAATAAGCAATTTATCTAAAGGGTGAAGGTGGCCAACAAAGTTTAAGATTCGACATTTAGACCTATTTCACTAAGACGCTAACAGGAAATCCTGCCAAGAAACTCACACACTGAAAGTACCCCACCCTTTCTATAGAAAAGCTGTTAATATATTAAAAAAAATCCTCACCTGTCCTCAGATGACTCCATTGCTGAACAATTATTAGACACAGGTAGATATAATTCACAGTTTCCAGGTGCATCCTGATCTGTCACAAGTGATTTAATCATATCTGTCCCCTCAGGTCTGCCAGTACTTCTGTATACATAGTCTTTTCTTATTTCCGATGTAGACTGCTCTTTCTGGTCAGCAGCTGTGTTTGCTGAAACAAGTTCATTAGACAGAACACCAACTTCCTTTTCATGCTTCATCAACTGTATGGCAACACTCTCTTGTTTCTGTGTCTGTTGTGCACCCACAGAAAGGCTGGTTGGTTCAGTCATCCACCCTTGAAAATTATCCTGGCTTTGAAGAACGGAGAAATATATGAATAGTATCTCTCATGGAAGAACAAAAGCACATGTTTTAAGAAAACTACAATATTTCAATAGTTATATTACATTCCGAAGATTCAGAGGGTACTTAAATTATTGAAAAGCAGGAATAAAATCCAGAACAGAATCATAGAATCGTTTTGGTTGGAAAAGACCTTGAAGATCATCAAGTCCAACTGTTAACCTAGCACTGCCAAGTCCAGTAGTTTGGTAAGATGACACCCCACCCAAGCTATTTTCAAACTCATCTCCTTGGCAAGCCAATTTCGTTTCTTACTGAGGCTAATCTGTGCTAGTTCCTCAAACACAACCTGCACCAGAGTTAGTGCCCTGACTGAACACTTTGTCTTCTCAAGGGGCATTATCACCTAAAAACCTCAAGATTAACAGAAATCCCAAGGAAATAAGTTTCAGTCCTGCAAAAGCAGGATTTTTACAAACTCCGTGAAACTTCCCATTGCACCGGGATTATTGCTTAATGCAAAAATGTCTGATCTTTGTTTTTTCTAATATGATTTCCAAGTTTTAAAGTTAAGACAGGGCTTTCTACAATCCACTCTACCAAGTTCTCCCAAGGCTTAGGATGTGCCCGTATGGAAAATTTCCAGTGATATTTTGTGATACATGACCCTCCCATAAAATTATGGGTTGCTTTGCAATTGCCACATTCATGTTCCAGACAATTCTTACCCATGCTACCTGGGCTGGTCACCTCAGAACTGACAGTCTTAATACGCACTATATACACCTTAAAACTGTACAACACGTTTCTACCTTCCGGTTAAAGCCTCCCACCTGCCACAAAGCTTTCATTCCCAGATGTCACTGTCCTGTCGCACTCGAGCCCTGCCACGTACCAAGCTGTCCCACAGAAGGGAGCTCAGGACGAGAGCGGCACACCTTGTCCCGAGCACTCCCAGCCCCGCTCCCCAAGGAAGGACGACCCAGGCTCTGCGCAGCAGTCAACCGTACCCACATGGCGCGGG